AGGAAGAAAACTGTTTCATTCTTTCACAGAATCTAGACCAGTCATCTTTAAATCCTAGGCTCAAGATATGGAATTTGTGATCCATTGCTGAAAATGTATTGACATCAACATTCAAAATATGGACTGCCAAACTCAATGTAGCCATAGACAATTACAATCCTCAACACGGCAAAACATTCAAGAAACTGAACTCTCCCTTCAACAGATTCCAGACCATAGCCACGCTCAGTGGGATCTTCAAACTTTCTAAAGTTGGTTCAGCCACCTTTTTATTAGTTATTTTACTTCCTTAAACTCACCATTACTTCCTACTTGATTTTTCTTATTCTTCAATGCTTCTTTCTTAATCCAAGTTCAGCCAAAAATCTGAATGCACTCCTTCATTCACTGATGGCCAAAAACCAAAAAAGAAAAAAACTCCATTTACCACTAAGAGATAACAAAATCGCACTGCTAAAGGCTTACAAATATAAAGTTAATCGCATTTGAAACTTTTTTTTTCCCGATAACATCCAATTAAAGCCACACCAGGGCAGTTCTTAATAATACATCAGGCATACAGTGGCAATTTGTTTCCATGCTAAAAAAAAAAGAAAAAAAAATCCAGAAGTAATTCCAAAATTTATAATCAATTATTCCACCAAATTATTTAAAATTTTCAATGGATGATATACTGAATGATCTCTTCTAATAATCATACTGACACTGGAAAGAGAAATTCGTCAAACTTCAGGTTGAAGAGCGATGATGAATTTGTAATCAGAAAATCACACACTATAATCTACAAAGAAAATCGTGAAAAAAGCAGATCAAAAAAAAAAGAAAAAAAGAAAAAAAGAAAAGACGATCTCACTTTCATTATCAAGCTCGACGGCCTTGAAATTGACTCCAAGTTCCTGCAAAAGCTTCTTCACGCTCACGCAGAAGGGACAGTACGTCTTGCTGCATCGCAACGTCAAAATCAGAAAATCAAAAGGCCATTAGGTAAAACGCATACGGTAACAGAGATCAGAAATCATTCCGATCACGTACCTGAACACGACAACGGAATTGGAGGAAACGAGTTCCTTGGCCTTCGGCAACGCCATCTCTATCTCTCCGATTCACAGCCTAGAATTCGATTTCCAATTTTTTTCTGCTTTGCTTTCGCGTTGGGTGGGGCACTGGGGCTCCGGATGTTGCTGTTTTATTGAGGGAGGAGAGTAAAGCGTGCACCCCAAGTTGCGACGGGTGAACAGATGATCTGAAACGTTGATCTTTGTGGACACTGGATGTCGCGTGAACAAAGAAGTCAAAACCGGCTGATACGTATCGGTTTTGATAGTTAACCGAAATAATATAATATTAATTTTCGTTTCAATCAAAATTTGGTTATTTCAGTTAAAATTCGGTGTATCGGTCGAAATTTTGGTATATCGACCGGTTCATCAGAATTTCGACTGGTACACACTGCAAATTCAAAAGAAAAAAAAGATTCCCCTTAGCCCAAAACGTCGTTTTGGGCTAAGGGCTTTTTCAAAGCCTGCAACTGCAATACACCGAAGCTGTCCGTACAATTCAAATTCAAATTTAAAAGGGTAAATTTTATTTTTGATTCTCAACTTTAATGTCATATATAATTTTTATCATTTACTTTTTTTATGTACTTTTTTAATCCATTTTTTATTTTTTTTAGTCTTTCTATCAAGGTTAAATACCTTTTTGGGTCCCTCTACTATAGGAAAAAACCCTTTTTTGATCCCTGTACCGAAAAAATTCCCTTTTTGGTCCTTACTGTTCACAAATCCGGCCCCTTTTTA